GATATTTAATATATTCTGCAGACATGTTCAAAATTCTGGCAAGACAGAAATCTCTAGAAAATTTGTATTAAAATAATAGACTCTTACAAATTATCTTATAAAGGGTGAGTGTATGGACTGAGGTAGAGCAATATATTTTAATGTAAGAATAGTAATAGGTACAGAAATTTTGCAAAGAACATTCAGTGTTTCATTTTGATTGGAACAGTAAATTAGAATGATAATGGTGGGTGAGTTTGGGCAGTGGGAGCCTTATTATTAAAGATTTTAAGAGTTGTTTACTTTACACAAGGAAAATTCTGCATTGCCCACATCTAACTGGAGGATTTAAAATGAAATTATGATCATATATTTCAATATTTTTTTCTTTTTTAATATCCCTCAATATTTAATAACCTTTCTGATAAATGGCCTGGGTTTGGTATCTATTTTCCACATAATAGGATTCCTATGTTGGATCTGGAATTTACAATTATAGCTGTACTAAGAGTTTTATTGGCAGAAGAGCTTTCTTTGATAGGGAGTCATTTGAAATCCATTTTTCCTCATTTGGGAGTAATTCCCAGGCTAACTCACTGTTCTATTTATATCAGTGACCTCCTTTCCAAAGCTGTATCAGCTGAGCACTAAAGAGAAATCCTTAAAAGAAGTATTTGGGTCAAAAACATGAACCAAAATAAGTGTAATTAGATTTTTTAAAGAGCGAAGGGATGGTTTTGAGATAGTTTTATCAGTAAATCTTTAGTTAAAATTATTTCCGTTTGAATTAAGTCATTATGTATAAACAATTCCCTTGGATGTATTTCACTGAATTCAACAAACTTGTTTGGGTCACTGAATATCAATTGTGCCAAATCATTCTCAGTATTTGCAGTGTGTGTGTGTGTGTGTGTGTGTGTGACAGAGAGAGAGAGAGACAGACAGAGAGAAACATACTCATATTTGGGCTAGGAGTTGAGTATAGTTCACACACAAATATGGATATGTCTGGAAAAGCTTATTACCCCTATGAATAGGGTGGAAGACAAAGATGGGGAGTACATGGCAATGGCCAGGGTTCAGGGCAAGGAGTGCTTCTCTTCTTTCTAAAAGCCCTTTGAGTCTTGAGAAAAGTGAGTATCTGGGTAAATATTGTATTAATCTTACATCACATACCAGAAGTCTTTAAATTTGGGGAATAATAAAAAAACAGTCAGAATCTTGTGAAAATGCAGATTAGCAGCCTTATGCCTGGATTTTGATTTAGTAAAGCCAGGTGGGGCATCTGGACGTAATTTTTAAAAGTATCCTCTGGTGATTCTTATGTAAGTGGTACTGAGTTCTGCATTTGAAATAGTTTCTTAAGGGACATTAGACATTACTGATCCCTAAATGTAGAAGCTGGATGCATTTTGAAGTGTTTAATAAATCTCTTTAAGTATTTTGATACTGTGATGTGGTCAAGGAGAAAAAAGTTAAATGAATTTCTACCAGGGGAGAGGCATATAGGCTCACACATGCACACATACATGCATTCGCACACACACATTCATTAATGTGATTTATACTATGATGGTGATAGAAATTTTTTCTGCACAAGAGGATAGAAGGTTTTAGATCGTGCTCCAATCCCCCAAAAGAAGAAAGAAGAAAGAAAGATGAAAGAAAGAAAAAAGGAAGAGAAAGAGAGAGAGAGAGAGAAAAAAGAAAATTATAGATCCAGAAATAGGAAAATAAAACTTGAAAAAAGTGAGGGTTGAGTCCTGAGATAGAACCATCCAGTTATTTCTTAATCATTAACCAAGAAGGATAGGAGAACTGTGTTTGGGAATGAGATTCTTAGGATCTAAAATAAATTCTTTTAAGTGATTTAAAACTAAAAGTACATGACTACATAGCTCTATGAAATTTATGCTGACTTTATCCTGGAATAATATGAAGATGTGGATTCTAAAATGTTTAGAAAAGATGTGTCAAAGCAGGTGAATTCTTTAAAGTTTGATAAAAGCTTCTATTGTAATAGGTAAGACAACAGTTGTACATAATATTTTTCTCAAGCTTTCTCTTGTGTTCCGATATGATGTCAGACTTTTCAAACATTTGCAAAAGCATTATACTTTCTCCATGTACATGCTTAGTTTAGCCATCTTTATTCTTATGCAGTGTCATGGGAGAACAGCCTGGAGCTGCTGAAAATAAATGAGATGCACTATCTTAGATGATATCTTGTATTTAACACGATATAGAAAAAAAACTGAGGCAATTATAAAGGAATTCAGAACATAGTTGATGTTTTAAAGAGTTTTTGCATAATCTGTTTTATAGTATTAACTTTTTCACTCTGGTGTAGACCAAGGAAATAATCCCAAGAGCAGTTGAAATTGATATAGAATGCTTTGTATTGTCCTGCTCTTAGGAAACAAAGTCAGCCAATTATTTTGAAGGAGATCCACTAAAATTTTCACATATACAATATTCATTTCTGTTACATTTATGGAGAACTGTCTTCATTGAAGGGAGAAGAGAGAAAAATGGAACTTTCAGGGAAAGCCACATTACTAAGGTCGTAGTGTTTCTCCAAGATTTTTAGGTTAAGATGCTGAATGAATCTGGAAATAAGGAAAAGCATCACACAAATACATTATTTACATGTTACTGATATCTGCATATTTGAAAATTTCTAAATGATTACCTGTTCACTTATGTTCTCACTAAAGTTATTCACCAAACATTTCTGTCTCTCTCTTCTGTGCACAAGGTAGTTTGCATTTTTCCATTCCATTTACATTAAATGTGGCCACGTGAATTGCTTTGGTGAAAGGATCCTGAAAAGAAGCTACATGTGTCACATTCAGGAGGAAGTGTTACAAGTTCCTGTACAATTTGCCAGAACCTCTTTTCTGTGCCATGACAACCTGTTACAGATGTGGAGTTTCTATTAGCCTCATTCCTGGAGTGAAGAGATGCAGCACTAAAATGCCTTTAGTGGAACTCAGTGCTTTTTGCTGAAAAAGTAATGAAAATGATAAGATGATGATGAGGAAGAGGATGATATAAATTCTAACAAGAGATCTTGTTCCAAAAAATGTATATGTTCAGAGTGACTGCAAAGGAATTCTGTTTGCTCAAATAATGTACTGCCCAAGAATTCTGATATCTGAAAATCAGAAGTTAATTTCAATGTATCCAGCTAACAGGATTTTAGATTTTAAAATTGCATAACAGTAGAAAAGAATGGAATAATCTGAAAATTAGCAAAAGACATTGAGTTATTAGGGGGAAATGGCACACAGTTACATTTGGACATTTATTTACAAGGTGACTTCCTCAGTGAAAGTTCTTTTGGAGAACTATATTTTAGCTTTTAGAATAAAACTTCTGCCAACTCACATTACATTGTCTTTCTATTCTTACAGCATAAATTAAACATAATTTTATTTCCATTTTTCTGGCATCAGAAAGTAAGTCTTGAGGTAAAACTTTTTAGCATTTTGTAGTATTATAAGCTTTTTAAGTGTTTTCATAGTATTTCTAAGATGGTACTCAAAGGGTTTAGACTTTTTAATGCTATGATGTTCCAATGAATTCACATGAAATTTAATTATTGATATTAAATCTTAATTGGTAGAATATTTTGTAACTCTTAATATATTTATGATAAAAATATCATTGAGTCATTGGGATTTTTTTTCTTATATGATCTACACAGCACAAAGATCTCCATGATGCTCATGAAATGAATAGTGAAAATAAGCAAGTAATTAAAATGGCTGGTTTTGAAATCATAGTTAACATGATTAGTGAACTTATTTACTCATTTGGTAAATACTTATTAAATAGCTATATGGTAAACACTGTGAATACAGAGATTAAAAATATATGACAACTCCTTAAAGTGTTCACATCTCAGATGGGAATACTTGTTTATTATTTGTACATAGGTAAAATTGATTATGGCCTATGATGAATGCTATTGTACAAAGATAAAGAAAATCTGTTGAAATGAAATAGTGAAAAAGATCAGTTCTTTAATTAAGGACTAATGAATGAACCATTGAAATGTTCGCAGAAAATGTGATATTGGAATTCAGCATTTAATACAATATTTATCACATCATTCTCTTTAATAATACAACTATTAAGGATTTATCACCATATCTAGAGTAGATAATTAGGACATTTTTCTCTGAAAGTAGTTTATGTCTAACTTTTATGCCATGTTCTATGCTTTGGGAATTTGGGGACTTTAACCTGGGGTATGTATTTTAAGTATTTAACAACAGCAATGGTCATTCAGGATAGATTTTGACAACAGAATTAAAATTGGCTCTGGAAAGGTCTCCAAGACCTTTAACTGTTAACTTTTTAATTGTATGGCCATGGTTGGGTCCCTGCACCTCAATTTATCATCTCTCAAATATAACTAATACTAGTTTCTTCTACTTAGGATGGTCTTGAAGATAACATGACATATATTGTAATGTATATAAAATGTTTGACACAATTAATAGTATTGAGCATGGATTCAAGACATTTTAAGTATCACAATTATTAAATGAATAATAGATAGTAAATCTGACAACAAATTACAGCAAATCACAGAAGTATTGTGTATGTGTGTGTGTGAAGCAATTGGGGAGGTGGAAAAATTCAGAAAATAATCCTTTCCAAAGGACTGTTGAAAATTTGAAGATGAGAGAGTAGCTCTTGAAATGGGCATTATTTGGAAATTATCTGGTAAATACAATTTTATTTTTCTGGAGAATAATTATTTTATATTCCAGTTGTTCCTAATTTCAGTGATCATCTATGGTTATAATGAACAGCCCTAGAGTAAGATGTCAGTATTTGACTGCAGCTGTTTGCAAACTCTGTTGTGATTACACTCAGTTGTCTAATTGCCTAATTTATTGATGTTTTCCTGACATGTTTTTCAGCAACATTTGTGATTGCAGATAACTAGTCATTCCTGTGCAGGCTCATTATCATATGTTTGCATTTGATTTGTCTGATTGTTGCAGGTGGAAACAATAGGTGATGCATACTGTGTTGCAGCAGGACTGCACAGGAAAAGCCTCTGCCATGCCAAACCCATTGCTCTGATGGCCTTGAAGATGATGGAACTTTCAGAAGAGGTATTGACACCTGATGGAAGACCAATTCAGGTAACCTTGTCAACAATCTGGTATGAGTGGTATATGTACCTTAACTAGAGGAGACTAGAAATTTTCGTCTGAATTCTTTTACTGTCATTTATAAATCTAGATTAATCAAGTGCATAAAGGGGACAAGGAGTGACTAGTAAGAACTCACAGATTCGGGAAAAGAAAAATGGAATGTGGTACAAAATAGGAAAAGGTATGTGGAAGGCATATTGCCATAGAAAGAAGAAAGAACTGAAGGATTAGGCCAAGGAGAATTTACTGTTAGTGACCAAGTCACTAAACCCAAGCAATAATGATGGTAAGAATAAGAGTCTGAGAGATATTCCAAAAAGCAAACAAGCCAGGCATGGTGGTGGATACTGTAATCCCAGCATTCAGGAGGGTGAAGCAAGAGGAGCAAGAGGATCTCCACAAGTTCCAGAACAGTCTGGGCTACATAGTAAGTTCAAGGTAAGCCTGAATTATTTAGAAAAACTCTGTCTCAAAAAAAAAAAAGAAGGAAAAATAACCCCAAAATAAATAAGAAGCAAGAAAAAAGAAGACCTGGACAGCTTCCTGTAGGAAAGAATACCAATGTTCTATATGTAACCTAAGAACTCAGAGGGGTTTTTTTGCCAGTTTTTTAAGTAGCAAATCTTGATGGCTGGAGCCCGTAAAAGGAAATTGTAGAAACTGAAAAATCTAGCACTTGATGTGTTGTACATTTTTTGGTACAAATGGCTTTCTGCAATCTCAGTCCTACCTCTGGGAATAGTTGTGGTCATCTAGTTGTGTTTCTGCCAGACTCCCATACCACATACCAGAGCTGTCATTACTGTTGAGTCCTTGGAAACCAGAAACCTTGTATACAGAGAATTCAAGCCAGCTCTTTTAGAACAGCTCACCAACTATAGATTAAGAAAGAAATACAGGCGGGAAAGGGGTTCAAAATACGTGTGATTCTACTTTTGACATTATGGCAAATTAGATAACCCTGAGTGACACTTTTGATTACAACTATTAACATACTGTGTCTGAAATTTTTTTAAAGTATTTTAAAAAACTATTAAGCACATAGCTGAACTCAGAGGAAAAGGTTAGAATGTTCCAATTACACTGTGTATAGATTTACAAATTTAATTGGTGAATTTAACTTCAGTGCTCTGTAATTAGCAATATAGTAGGAAACCGGGAAAATTCTGTTCTCCCTGGTAGTCATCAGTTTGAATTATATCCTCAATGAATGTCCACAGATAAGGTGATCTGTAGATTGAGTGGTAAATACTAACAGCAGCAGCAGCAGCAGCAGCAGCAGCAGCAGCAGCAGCAGCAGCAGCAAACACAATGAAAAGAAAACACATAGAAAAGAAAAAAGTACTGGTTTAGAGTCAGTAGAAACCATTCATGAAGAAAAATAGATCTGTAGTGTTTGCAGATATCAAAATTATCAGATGCCAATTTAAACTGTTAATGTTTAGTGTAATTAAAGAAATAAAAGAGAAGTAGGTTAATGTGAGGAAAGTTAAAGTAGACATGAAAAACAACCAGAAACCTTCTAAGCAAATACTTTTTAAAAAGAGCTGAGAGCTCATTAAATGAGTTCAAAAGCTAGTTAGACACAGATGAAGCAAGAATTCATACATCAAAAGTGAGAACTGAAGAATTATCAGTGATTGAGCTAGAGAATTTAAAATGGGAAAACATGAGCATGACAATATAAAACATATATATGTAGGATTGAGGAGAGAGTGGAAATATATAATGTATGTCCAGTTGGGATTCCAAACATAAATATAGAGAGAATGCAAAAAAGAGATTTTTTTTTCCTGGAACTATTAAGATGTTAATCAGTTGTCAGACACAGAATTGTAAAGAATTCTACAAAAGACATCATTCTAAACCCACCCTAATAAGAATGTAGTATAACAGAGAAAAGAAACATTTGATACATTGTTGAAGTGACATTGATCATTGGGAGAAGGATGGCTACACAATTAATTGTATTTGGGGGGTTAACTGCCTATCTATGTGAAAAAAATTGAAATTGGTTCTCTGCTTTATGAATAATGTATACATAAATCAGTTCCGATGAGTTAAATGTGAAAAGACATACTATGAAACTATAAATATATAATTAGTTAAATTTTACTTAGAGTAAGAAGGGATATTTTTGTGAACTAATCATATCAAACATTGCAGGTCATAAAGAAAATATGTGTAAATTTTATTACATTAAAATTTTCTGTTTATCAAAGGACACCTAAAAAGAGTAAAAGATAATGACAAATTAGTAGACCATTCTTTGCATATAACCAATAAAAGTATCTTTGGTTCACCTCATCAGTACTTGAATTAATATAAATTAATAATACAATGGATCCAGTGTTCCTTGGTTTTACTTTGGCCACCTTTCAAGGTCTGACAGTATAACTGCTGATGAGAACCTGGAGATGCAGGAAGTCTCCCTCCCACCTGTGTATACATGATATACATGTATGTATACATGATACAATTCAACTAGCAGTCGTGCATAGCCTACAACCTAACAATTCCTCTCCTGGATGTTTGTGCCAGGAAAGTACTTGTGCACATGTAACAGAAGTTACACATATTATTCATAGTGATAATTTTCAAATTGGAGCTAACTCAAATATCTACCAACAGTTCAATAGATACTGTGATATATTTATACCATTATATTTATTTATATATATTATTTATACCATTATACCTTATCCCATTCAGTTGGGAAAATTAATGATAGCAAATGCTAACATTGCCACAGATGAATGTCAAAAATATTGAGCCATCTTTGAAGAATCCTATAGTATTACTCTATTTAATTAAGGTTCAAAACTGGCAAAATTGAAAAAAAATATGCCACTTAGACATACCTGCACTGATAGAAAAAGTGTAAAGGAAAAAAAAAGGAGTGATTAACAGAAAGTTCAAGATGATGCTTTTCTCCAAGGGACTGAAAGGGGACCACGGGAAGAGGGGATGCACAGTAGTAGGGAAAGTGAACCTAGTGCAAAATTGTTCATTTCATTACTGTTGTATAATGTGCACATACATGTTTATATTTGACCATTTGAAAAAGTCAAAAGAGAGTTTTATGATCACTCTTACCAGAGGTGAAAATAGGAAAGTATGAACTATTAAGAAGAAAAATGTAGGTTAAATTCCCTCAGGGCATGATTATTGTTATTCAAATATAAGAATAGCATTTTGACCACTATCAGGAAAACACACTAAAGGAACACAGTCTCAAATCTGCTGCAAACTGCAAACAAATACACATTTTCTAGACTGGATTTATATCATTTCTTAAATTGTCAAGCCTGTCAGCTGGGCAGTCTTATTTTGTAGGACTGTTTTTCTATGTTGAATTTTCTTTCATAGGGTATATCACATTTGAAATTGGTTTCAACTTTGTCAAAGCAAACTTAAGTTTCCAGAAATCAAAACCAGGGAATTGTATTTTACAGTGTGCTCATCAATATTTTCATTTGTAGGTTATAACATTAGCTCTGTCTCATGAATCAGAAAGTTTTATTAAATCAGAAGAGGAAATGTCCATAAAGATTTAATAAGAATGCAAAAGGAGAATTAAAAATAATAAAGCCACCATAATGATTTTAGCTTCATTACTAATTTATAGTATTTGCATGGTTTGGGGTTCTTTTGTGGCATATTAATATGATTTTGCAATGCCTTCTAACTTGGTGCCATGGGAACATTTCTAAACTTATTAGGAAAATCTTTCATTTGAAATGCTTGGTGTTGCAGTAGGAAATCATATGTGTCGTGTTGATTGTTTACCTCAAATTATGTAAGTTTTATGCTATTCAAAAAGTAAGCTATTTAAGTTGTAATAATTGCTCAAAAGAAAGCTTTCTAAACCTATCAGGTTTTAAAATATTTTTTCTTTTCATTATTTTTTAGTTTAGTTTAGTTTATTAGTACATGTGTGTAGTACATAATGTTTACATTTCTTGTGGGAAGTTGGTACATGTGTAGAACATGTCTTGATATTTTTATGTGGTTTTGTAATTCTATGGGTCATTCTGTAATGATGACAAGTGGGAACCAGAACAGTCAGTTATAATCCTTGGAAGTGATTTGTAATGTCTCTGACTCATTAATTTTAAGACTGCTTGAAGGTATATTTTATTTTTTAATTAAAAATTTTTACTACTATGTTTTTATGATATGTAATAATTTCATTAATCTTGCTTATTTTGAATTTAAAAAGTAATCAAGGGATATAGCATTTTGCTTGTTTGGTATGTACATACTTAAATTATTGTTCAGTAAATACTGTAATTAAATTCAGAGGCTAGTTCTAGAAAATATAAAGTACACATAAATGTGATCTATGCAATGAATTAAGATATTTTAACCCACTGTTGCTTTCATTGGGACTGCTTTTAAAAAAATGACTTGAACTTCTTGATAAACACGACACATGTTCTGGCTGCAAATATGGAAATGCAGTACTATGGCCATTATTTTTTGGTACCAGGAATTGAACTCAGGACCTTGCACTTATGAGGCAGGCGGTGGCATTACTGAGCTAAATCCCTGGACCTCGCTTTCCATTTTTTATTATTCCTCCCTAGGGGGAGTCTGAATTTTTATATTGAAAAAAATGGACAGTTGAAAAGTAAAATCAAAATTTTCTTCTCTCTTTGTTTTTTTTTT